GCCACAGGTGCGGGAAGAGCAGCCGCGACGACGGCGCCGACGGGGGGGACGGGGGAGGGAGAGCCAAGTGCAAAAGACCCAGCGTAGTGAGGGAGTGAGTTTCCTGGCGCCGGGGATGCTTCGGCCGGCGTCACGGGCACGCCTGTCGGGGAGGCTGGAGAAGACATTCATGCATCTAGCTGGGGGGGCGGGGGAGGAGTGGAACTGAACCACCACTTCTCTCCCAACCCTGAAAATCAGTGGCGTTCCACGCAGCGAATAAAAGTGTCCCTCGGCAGTCTCATTCCAACCCTGCGGGTACCGAACGTCCTCTTGCTCCCCACTCAAAAGGTGCATCCACTATGTTTGTTTAATACATCTTTGCTGCGCATGTGCTGTGTGCCAGACAGGATACTTGGGGCCGTGACTGTGTTCCTTGAACTTCGAGTAGCGGCAGAAGGGCGGACAGATACGCTAATATCCGTGGAACCGCCAATTGTGCGGGGTGGTCCGTAGGAGACCCACAGGGTAGGAGAGAAAGAATGAAGAAGAGTGGACTTTCGACTGGGGGATGGTTGATCGTTAAAGGGAAAGGCCTCTAGGAAGTAGTAATCTGACTAACACCCTCGTGGGAGGAGGCATCGGGGGCACAGAAAGTGAGTTGCCAGAAGTCAGGTCTCCTGGCTCCCTGGCCCAGACGCTTTGCGTTAGAGAAAGAAACGGCAATAACTTTGTAAATGGCACTTTCCCCCCACAGGAATAGCCTCTCAGGACCAGTGTCACGTTTTTGAGGAGTATTTGGATCTCCAGACCACTGGTTGAAGTCACTTTATTCAAAAATGTCGTATTTGTGTACTAAATGGACCTTCTGGGGCACTTTTGGGGGGGCAAAAATAATCCAGAAACACGAACCTTTGAGTTTCCACCAAATCTCAAAAAACAGACAGGTGCGTGCATTGAATGGTGACAAGAATTGGGGTGGAGACAGGAGCTTCTCCAAATTACTATGAAACAAAACAACACAAACAGAATTCTCAATTAAATAATCAGTATGAACTAGCATGTTCGTTTCTTAGGGCTGCTCTAACAACCACCAGCTTGATGCTCAAAACGGAGATTTATGCTCTCATGGTTTGGAAGGCCACAAGTCCACGATCAAGGCGTCTGCAGTTCCGCATCCCCTCCCAAGGTTCTAGGAGGACCATCCTTCCTTGCCTCTTTCAGCCTCTGGTGGCTTCAGGATTTCCTTAGCTTGTGGCTGCCTAATTCTAATCTCTGCCTCAGTCTCCACATGGCCTTCTCCTCTGTGCCTGTGTCTTCTCTTCTGTGTGTTGTAAAGACACCTGTCATTGGATTTAGGGACCAACCAGGTCATCCAAGATGATCTCAAGATCCTAAACTCAATTTCATCTGCAAAGATCCTTCTTTCAGGGATTAGAATGTGGACATTCGGGGGATGGGGTTCATTATTTAGTCTATTACAACCAAACTAATGGAGACAAAACTTATCGTCTACTGTGGTAACAGGGTGTCATTTCAGCAGCATTATTCAAAATTGGATTGATGCTAAGTATAATTTATCATTTCACTGTGAGCTACTAAAAATAAGAATCATTAAGCCTGGGCCACGCGGAGCATCGCTGCCCTGTGGAAGAGAAATACCAATGCCCAAGGCCTCAACTGATGTTCGAGGAGTCACAGGCGGTACTTGAAAGCCAAGCATGGCATCTCACAGGCTACCATGTTACAGAAGTGCATCCTACATCCCTGCATGTGGATTTCTGATCATGTGTCAATACTGAGTGTCAGCCATGCATCAGGCTCTGCCCAGGAGCTCCTTACAGAGTTTACATTCTAGGCTAGGGACACTTTTGAACTTCATTCCCTCTGGCATAATGCTGCTGCCTATCTGAATCCTGATAAAGCACTGTGAATGAATGAATGAGTAAAAATAAGTCACTACCAAACAGCTAGGCAATTACTACCACGCTGAAAAACATCTCTATAATAAAAAAGACAGAATTTACAAGAGCAAAACAGATTAACACTCTGACTCATAGTATTGTCTTGAGAGAAGAAAAAATCCCTAAAAGGAAAGCTTTGATGTGAAAAAGAAATTAATGAGATCACCTGTCTTCTCTTTTGAAAAAAAATCAATAATATGCCTATTTACACAGATACAGATCCCGCAGAGAACAATCAATCATGACTGAAGTTACAGTTACTCAAAGTGGGTAAAATATCTTATCCAAGTATTTTGGTGGTTAGGTTCAAAAATATAAACATTGTTCAACTATTAAGCTAACAATATTGATACGTCATTTCTTGGAACTCTTTACAAACAATGATTTCAATGACTCCACTCTCTTCCTGGCTCACCTCTTTGACTTTCCTTCTTGCTCTTCCACTCTTTCAATTTTAAACAATCAACCTGTGTGTTAATAAACACCAAAGTAAGCCTCAGTCATGGACTTACTTGTCTCAGAGACCCATCCTTGATCTAGCCATGTGGCTAGTGAGTTGAAATATGATGACTGTCCAGGTATGAGTCACCTGTCCACTCTTGAAAACCAGCTGAAGGAAGGAGGGTTGGTCTTGCCCTAACCAAACAACTGAGGGTGGGGGAAGTGGCACCCCAAAATAAAATTAGGGCGCCTTTACTGCAGAGGAAGTGGGCAAAAAAAAGCACATAATATCTACTACAATAGAATTCTGAAAGGTCATGATTGAACTGACTGTAGTTTTAAATAAAGCAGCATATCACCTAGTTCGTGACACCATAAATGTTTTCTGGAAAGTATTTTAGAATAAAATAATAACTATAACTATTGATTATATGTCTAATTACCAGAGAAATATTTAAAATATACATCCATAAAAGCATTTAAAAACATTTGCAAAATGCTTTTAATTGCATTGGGGGAGTAGTCCAACATGAAGTCTCTGGAATCTGATTGTCAGAGTCCGTAGGCAACTTCACCATGAGCCCTTGAATCAGCTCCTTCCTCTCTTTCTCTCTTAGTTTCCTTTTCTTATAAAATGAAGATGGTAATAATCATCGCTCTGAATTGCCATGAAAAATGATGCGATAATAACGATGCCTTTAGAATAATCCTTGTTATCTAGTCATCTATTGTTTGTTTATTATTTTCTCAATCAGCCTTCACAACATCCCTGGAAAACTTTTTATGTAGTTAGACTTTGACCATTGACCATTTATTTTTTTCCGTAATAGATACTGATACAATAATCAGTATCTTTTTACCTTACATATCATTAACCTCTACACAGGATGAAATATTGAAAACTCCTAGTCTTGAATTATGTTTTCAGATTTTTAAGGAGGAGAGCATAATCTGGATGTGTGGAGTAGGGGAGAGAAAGAAAAAAGAAGGCAAGATCCAGGGATGACAGTGCTTCTCAAACTTTAAAATGCAAAAACTGCGGTACATATACTCAATGGAATATTACACAGCCATAAAGAAGGACAAACATATGAACTTCATAGCAACTTGGATGAATGTAGAGTCTATCATACTCAGTGATCTATCACAGAAACAAAGAACTGAGTACCACTCAGTTCTCACTCATAAACAGACCCTGAACATTTACAAGAATACTATAAGAAAGGGATTAGCAATAACAGGACAATGCCAGAAGACGGGAGGGGCACATAACAGCAATAAGCGTACCTAATCTCAAACCAGGCAAAGTGAGGACCAAAGGGAGGCCCAAACTTTGCCTGCGGGATGACCACTTGTATACCTAGTCATGAATTGTACCCCATATTCTTAAAATAAAAAATAATTTTTAAAAAGATTATTTAGTGGTAGCGTGCACCTGTAGTTCCAGCTACTTGGAAGGCTGAGGAGGAAGGATCGCTGGAGCCCAGCAAGTCAATGCTGGGGTGGCCGTGAGC